ATGGGGGAAAAAGTGTTCTTTGTCCTGAGTTTGTCTTATCTTAAAGTGGAACAAAGTAATATTAGTCAAGGTTATCTTATTTCTCATTTGCTTATTCAACATTTTACTGAGGGTTTACTGAATGTTGGGTACTATGCCATGTCTGGGGGAATATGATGTAGAAGAGTTCTCTTCTCTTACTCCAAAGGGCTTTTAAAACAGGAGGACACATCAGGAGAACCCAGGTCGGTTTTAACTCATCTTTTGATGTTTCTGGAAAAGGCATAGAGAGAACTTGGTAGTGTAGGGCCCAGAGTGTGTCCTAAAAAGATCTGTAGGGAGAAGGCAAGTACCTTTGATGGCAGAGATTTTAAATTTGATTTTAAAATTTAAATCTCCCAAATCTTATTTGAGTTAAAAAGCATTGACTGCCTTTCACATTTCTCTGTGCATTCCACCCCACCACTCCTCCTGTAGCTGTAGGCAACTCTTGCTATCCAAAGTTACCAATTCTCTCCCTCTTCCCACCCATCACAACTCCCATCACAGTTCCTCACAGCTTGTCTCTGGGCTCAGCCCCAAGCCTGGAGGGACAGAAAATGGATTCAGAGTTGCTACTCAAACACTGATTCCCATGGAAACCAAACCACTAAAAAAACAAAAAGGGAGAAGAGGCAGCCACTGGCTGACCTCTTAAGTTCACCCTCCAAATTTTTTTCACTTCTGGGCATGAAGGCAAGTGCTTATGTATATAACTAGCAGAACAGAATAACCCAATCCCTCCCCCATTCTCCAATTTCTTGAGAACCTTTTTGCTTTTTGACAAAAGGCAGGGGACATCTCCACCTGGTGGTAGAAATGCAAAATTACCACAGAGAGAAGCCCTAATTAGTGAGAAAATCTGCAATGCAGGCTATTAAGTTGCTGCAACAGGAAAAGGGTGAAAGATGTAACATTCAGAAGGCACTCTTCCAAAGTGTTTGATTGTGATGCATTTAACACTTGTTCCTTCTCACTGTACATTGTTTCAAGATTTAAATATTATTTTTATATTGATGCCATTTATTTATTTATTTATTTTTAAATAAATTTATTTTTGCATCCAATCCAAATATGGAAACATTATACTGGGAATTGAACTTAGGGGCTCTTTACCACTTAGCTACAACCCCAGTTCCTTTAAAATTTTTTTTATTTTAATTGAGACAGTGTCTTGCTAATTTGTTTAGGGTCTCACTAAATTGCCGAGGCTGGCCTTGATCTTGTGATTCTCTTGCTGCAGCTGGGATTACAGGTGTGTACCACTGTGCTTGGCTGAGGTCTAGTTTTTGGTTTTTTTTTTGGTGTTGAGGATCAAACCCAAGGTTTTATCCATGCTTAGCACATGCTCTACCACTGAATTCCACCTCCAGCTCCACAATGTCTAGTTTTATATCTCCCAATTCCATACTATTTCCCATGTGAATGTCTTGTTGCCACAAACTTAGTGTAAAACCAGCATGGACAGTGCTTGGTTTCCCTTCCAGAGAGCAGCCTTTGCCATCTTTCAAAGGGAAATAGATTTGCTCCATTGTCTTTTTGGTATGGCCTATTTTCTTCAGGGCTGTGAATATTTGTGCAATCATCTGCAGAGGCATCACCCCACTGATCAACATGATTACTAAAAGAGAACAAGGAAAGTCAAACCAGAGGGTACAATTACCATAAAGCTTACAAAAGCAAATTCTCTAATTCATCTTATTCTACTGGTTATCATGAGATACTTACGCTTTATCCGAAGGGATCAGGAAAAACAACAATTACATCTACTGAGCATCCTCCTTGTGCCAGAAACATTTCCCACATCATCACAGCAACTCTATCCTGGAAGTGACAGGAAAGGCAGGAGAGGTGGGAATCTGTCTGATACACTGACTACTCTGTATTTTATCTCCTCCAAAAGTTTTTTTTTTTTTTTTACTAGGGATTGAACCTCGGGGTGCTTAACACTGAGTCACATCTTAGCCATGTGTATGTATGTGTATGTGTGTGTGTGTATGTATATATATATATATATATATATATATATATATATATATGATTTAGAGACAGGGTCTTGCTGAGTTGCTTTGGGCCTCACTAAATTACTGAGGCTTTAAACTCAAGATCCTTCTGCCTGAACCTTCAGTGCTGCTGGGATTACAGGCGTGTCCCACCAAGCCTGGCTCCTCCAAGTTTTCAGCTTTTAGAATCAATTCTTTTCTACATCCATGCAATATTTTCAATTTTATTCTATCATTTTTACCTTGAATGTGTTTGATTTTTTAGTGTTAGGGTCAACCCCAGGGGCTCTTGCATGGGAGGCAAGTGCTCTACCACTGAGCTACAATCCCAGCTTCCTTGTAGGGTTTCTTCAAGGAGATTGGTAAAAGAAAATTTAGGAACTATATTAGAGTTCTCCAGAGAAACAGAATCAATAAGATCTACCTATCTATCAATATAGATGTAGGTATCTATAGCTATCTTAGACAAGATATATTTATCTATAGCATACATATTTATAAATCTCTCTCTCTCTTTTTTTCTCAGAGGAGCTTTATTGTTAGAATTGGCCCATGAGATCAGGGAGGCTAATATTGATGATATTCAGTTGGCAACTTGGGAACCAGAGAAACTTGTGGTGTAGCGCTGTCCAAATTGGAAGGCCTTGGAACCAAGGGAGCTGTTGATGTAAATTGCAGTCTCAGGCTGGTGGTCTGAGAATCCCAAGGACTTCTGGTACAAGTTCTGGAATCTGAGGGCCACAGTTGCTTCTAAAGGACAGAAGATGATGGATGGATGTACCATGTATCATCTCAGAAACAGAGAGAAGGAGACTTCATTCTTCTTCTGCCTTTTTGTTTTCTCTGGATTTTCAACTATTTGGATGGCAAATTCCCATATTAGGTGAGGGCGGATTTTTCTTACCCAGTCCACTGATTCTAATTGGCATCAGAATCCCCCAGGCTTGGCCAATCTCTTCTGGAAACATTTTTACAGACATATATAGTTGTAATGCTTTCTAGCTATCTGGGTAGACCCATCACCCAGTCAAGTTGACACCTAGAATTAAACATTGTATTACAGGACGTATGAGTTCACTTTCAAGTTTCAGGCTGAGAAAGATAGTCTCTGCTGTTAGTTTGGCTCACTTTCTTTTGTCCTTTAAGTGTCAGTTACTTTTTTTTTCTTCTTTTTTCAAAGTACTGGGGATTGAACCCAGGTGTGCTCTACCATTGAGCTACATCCCTAGCCTCTTTTAAAAACCTTTTTAATTTTGAGATAGAGTCTCATTAAGTTTCCTAGTGATCCTTCTGCCTCAGCCTCCCAAGGTGCTGGAATTACAGGCACTACCACCACATGCGTCTGGTAATTGCTTTTTCTCCCCTTATTGGTGATTGAACTCAGGGGCATTTAACCACTGAGCCACATTCCCAGCACTTTTTAAGTTTTTTTTTTTTTTTTTTTAGATAGGATCTTGCTAAGTTGCTTAGGTCCTCGCTAAATAGCTGAGGCTGGCTTTAAAGTCACAATCGTCCTGCTTCAGCCTCCCAAGAGGCTGAGATTACAGGCATGCATCACCAGGTCTGGTTGGTAATTGCTTTTCTATATGAGGAAAGATAATCCTTGATTAAAATATATGTATATACCATATTTTGTTTATCTATTCATTTGTCTGCACTTGTGATGCTTCTACCTTTTGGCTGTTGTGATCATGTAAATAATGCTGTTATGATCACGGATGTAAAGTTATTATTATTATTTTAATTTTTTATTTCTTCTTTTTAGTTACACATGACAGTAGAATGTATTTTGATATATCATAGACATATGGAGTGTAACTTCCCATTTTTGTGGTTGTACATGATGTGGAGTTCCACTGGTTATGTATTTGTATATGAACATAGAAAAATTATGTCCGATTTATTGTACTGTCTTTCCCATTCCCATTCCCTCTCTCTTCCTTCCACTTCCCTGCCAGAGGAGTCCAGCCCCAGCAGGGATCCAGGGGTCCTGGAAGGATGAGTGACATAGGCGAAAGAAGAAGAGACGGGATGACAGGTTTGCAAGTTACAAGCAGCCTCCAGATGAATCTGCTGCTCCTAGAGGGGCCTCTATTTTTATAGCTTTTTTACATGTGTTTTTTCAGGTAGTTAATGGATAGCCTCAAAGCCCGAAACTTCTTTGATTTACATCATTTTCACGAGTTACAATCTTTTCTGACGTACATTGATTACCTAAGATATTGAGTACATTGTTTAAAATATTTTTCTATAACCTTTGCCAATCATGATCAAGCTTTTACATTCTTACCTTAATCACTAGGTGCTAGACAACGCAACTCGACTACATGCCTCCTGATCTGTTATTAACTTTTAACTTTAAAGCATAACTATAATTATTTCATTAACCTTTAACTTTAAAACATACCTATGATTATTTGGTAAGCTTTCTTACTTCTAAACTGAAGTTCCAATAAAACACACTTAACATAGTGAAAGACTATTACTTAAAAGCCTACTACTCTGAAGTGCCTCCAAAATATATTTATGTTAATTTTACATCATTTTATTTTTAATTTCCAAGGTAATTTCCTTTTTTCATATGACCTATTTACCTGCTTTCTTAAAGAGTTTCTTTGATCCTTGGTCAAAGTACACCAAGTATTATGTCTTTGTATTCTTTAACTAAAGGGCAGGCTCTGCACCTCAACTCATTTGCCATTAATATTAACTATGTGTTTCCCATTTCACTTTAAATTCCTGTGTAAGGCAAAGGAGGGTCTGTTGGTGGGGGGATGTATTTTTATTAGCTTCTTGTCGTCCTTGAGGGGGATACCATAATCTTCCTTTATTTAAGTAAGCTACTTAAGGTGGTCCTTGCACTGTTGGCACAGCAATTGTTTTTCTGTAGCTAGGCTGTTGTTCAGGTTGTGGATTTAGAAGGAGGGGGGCTTATTGTTAATCATTAACCATGGGATAAACATTTCTTATTGCTTAGGCTTTAGGAATAACACCATTGTTTGTATCCTGAGAGAGATATTGAAACACACCTTAAGGTATGTCTTAATTGTATCCTTAATCTCATTCTGGGAATTTTCCTGCAATCTCAGGTAATACGTACTTTTATTATTGATTGATGTATGCCCTATTATCCATATCATGAGTATCATGAACAAAATACTTAACATTCCTAATGGTTCCGGTTTCCAGATGGTGCAGCCCTGCCTCAGCATCCCTCCCACACACTGTGACCTTGTCAAACATTGGGTGCAGGAATGCCTTCACCACCTCCCCACCCTCCAATCCCCTGAACATTTCCCGCTCCCACCTATTGTGAGTCAGCATCCGCATATCAGAGAGAATATTCAGCCTTTGGTTTTTTGGGATTGGCTTATTTCACTTAGTATGAGAGTCTCCATCCATTTACTGGCAAATGCTATAATTTCATTCTACTTTATGGCTGAGTAATATTCCATTGTGTATATGTGCCACATTTTCTTTATCCATTCATCTGGTTGAAGGGCACCTTGGTTGGTTCCATAGTTTAGCTACTGTGAATTGAACTGTTATGAACATTGATGTGGCTGCATCAGTATAGTATGCTGATTTAAATTCCTTTGGGTATGAACCAAGGAGTGGGATAATTGGGTCAAAAGGTGATTCCATTCCAAGTTTTCTGAGGAATCTCCATACTGCTTTCCAGAGTGGTTGCACCAATTTGCAGTCCCACCAGCAATGTATGAGTGGGATGTACAATTATTTTTGAAGATTCTGCTTGCAATTATTTGGGCATATACATAGGAATAAGTTAACAGATCATATTGCAATTCTATTTTCAATTTTTTGAAGAACCATCATACTGTTTTCCATAGTGGCTGCACCATTGTACATTCTCACCATAGATCAATAGTGTACACGTTTTCACAAATTTTTACATCCTAGCCAGAGCATGTTATTTTCTGACTTTTTTTTTTTTTTTCCAGTGCTGGTATTGGACTGAGGGACTTGAGCATGCTAGGCAAGTACTCTACACTAAGCTATACTCCCAGCCCAGGCTTTTTATTTTGTTTTTTGAACAGTAACATTATGGGTGTGAAATTGTATCTGGCACCTAATCACTGGATTATTTTATTTTATTATTTTTTGGGTTCAGGAATTGAAGCCAGGGGGCACTTGGCCACTGAGCCATATTCCCAGCCTCTTTTTTGTATTTTATTTAGCGACAGGGTCTCACTGAGTTGCTTAGTGCCTCCTCATTGCTGAGGCTGGCTTTGAACTCAGGATCCTCCCGTCTCAGACTCCCAAGCCTCTGGATTATAGGCTTGTGCCACTGTGCCCAGCATCACTGGATTATTTTAAAACAAATCTGTTATGGTTTAAATATGAGGTGTCCCCCCAAAAACTCATGTGTGAGATAATGCAAGAATTTTCTTAGGTAAAATGATTAATGTTACCTAGTCAGTCTTTTTTTTTTTAATATTTTTTTAGATGTATGGACCTTTATTTTATTCATTTATTTATATGTGGTGCTGGGAATTGAACCCAGTGCCTCACATGTGCTAGGCAAATACTCTGCCACTGAGCCACATCCTCAGCCCCATAATCAGTCTGTTAATCCACTGGTAGGGATTAACTGGGTGGTAACTGGGTAGGCAGGTAGGGTGTGGCTGAAGGAGGTATGGGGGGGCATTCCTTTGTGGTTTATATTTTGTCCCTGGTGAGTGGAACTTTCTTTCTGCTTTCTGATTGCCATATTCGGAGTTGCTTTTCTCTTCCATGCCCTTCTACCACGATGTTCTGTCTGTCTCAGGCCCAGAGCTATGAAGTTGCCTGACTATAAACTGAGACCTCTGAAACCGTGAGACAAAATAAATGTTTCTTCCTGTATGTTATTCTTGTCAGGGTATTATTATTATTATTATTATATTGGGAATTGAACCCAGGAGCACTCTACTACTGAGCTACATCCCCAGTCCTTTATTTTTTGAGTCAGTGTCTCACTAAGTTGCTTAGGGCCTCCTTGCTAAGTTGCAAAGCTGGCCTCAAAACTGCAGTCCTCCTTCCTTAGCCTCCCAAGTTGCTGGGGTTACAGCTGTGTACCACCATGCTTGGCTTTATTGGGTCTTTCAGTCACAGTGAAGAAAAAACTGACTAAAACAAAATCCCAGACATCATGGGATAATTTATCATGGCTGATGCCTCAGCCTGTGACAAGAATATTTCTCTGCTATTATAAAAAAGAGTCCCTGGGAGACATCTTATGCATATATGTAGTATAAAAGTACTAGAGTCATTTGACTACAAGATTTAGGATGTGACCAACACAGAGGGGACACAGTCATGAGAACTACAGATGGCTGGGCACAGTGGTACATGCCTGTAATTACAGCTACCTGGGAGGTGGCTGAGGCAGGAGGATCACAACTTTGAGGCCAGTGTGGGCAAGTGAATGGGTCCCTGTCTCAGGTCGAGACCCTGGGTTCAGTTCCTAGCATTGGGAGCAAAACCCTGATGGGACCCTGCCTGATCATAGCATTACCTTTTGGCTGAATGTAACTCAATAAACTCTCAGTTTAAAAAATTATATTTTCAGTTTTCTGTTGCTGAAAACATTCTTCTTTTCTTTTTTTTGGCACTGCGGATTGAACTCAGGGGCACTTAACCACACTGAACCACATCCCCAGCCCTTCTTTGTATTTTATTTAGAGACAGGGTCTCACCGAGTTGCTTAGGGCCTCACTAAATTGCTGAGGCTGACTTTGAACTTGAAATTCTCCTGCCTCAGCCTTTGGAGCGGCTGTGATTATAAGAGTGTGCCATTATGGGCTGGGGATGTGGCTCAAGCGGTAGCGCGCTCACCTGGCATGCGTGCAGCCCGGGTTTGATCCTCAGCACCACATACAAACAAAGATGTTGTGTCTGCTAAAAACTAAAAAAATAAATATTAAAATTCTGTCTCTCTCTTCTCTCTCTCTCTCTTAAAAAAAAAAAGAGTGTGCCACTACATCTGGCTTTTATTTTCTTTTCTTCATAGCATGTGTTGTTATCCATTATCTTTCTGTTCATTACTTATGAATTGTTTCTCTTTCCTCATAGATAATGCACTTGATATCAGTAAGCTGTCCTTCTTCATTTATCACTTTACTCCCCATTGCCAAACACAGCACCAAACACACGATAATCATATAAGTATTTGTTGACTAAATGAATCAAGGTATATTATAAAATATTTCTTTTTTTAAATACAATATTTGTAAGTAAAGGGTTAAAAGTTGTTATCATCTTGGGCTGGGGCTGTAGCTCAGTGGCACAGCACTTGCCTAGCATGTGTGAGGCACTGAGTTCCATCCTCAGCGCCACACAAAAATAAACAAATAAAATAAAGGTATGCTGTCCATCTAAAACTACAAAAAAAAGTGGTCATCATCTTAATGAAAACAAAATTTGTGATTTTTTTTTCATTCTGGGAATTGAACCGAGAGCCTCATGTAGGCTAGACAAGCTCTCTGCCACTAAGGAAGGTGATTTGTCACTTTATTTGAAATTTTAAAGCTTAACATAAATTTAATAATGGCCTATGAGAAAGAAGAAATAACTTTATAGTTTGTGCTCTTATTTGAACTGCCTACAGCTTAAGGCCTACATTTCATGAGTGGGGGAAGCCTAATTGCTATTACTGTGTGCCCAGTGTATAATTCCCCTGCCCCACAGCCCCACGCACTGAGCTAGGATTAAACCCAGGGTCTTGTGAATGCTTGGTAAGTGCTCTACCACTGATGTACTTGTAAAACAAATGTTTGCTACAGATTTGTTCCATTTTGTCTGTATTTTTATTATACACCTACAGATTGTTTTAATGTTATTTTATTGTTAAGGTATCAGTTATAATCACAATTATGCTAACCACTCTGAAAAGGGAATAAGAACTATAATAGATGAAGGGCGTGGTGGTGCATGCCTGTAATCCAGGCATCTCAGGAGACTGAAACAGGAGGATCACAAATTCAAAACCAGCCTCAGCAACTTAGTGAGACCCTATCTTAAAATAAAAATAAAACAGGGCTGAGGATGTAACTCAGTGGTTAAGCACTCCTGGGTTCAATCTCCAGTACTGGGGAAAAAAAAAAAAAAGAACTACAATAGAATTTGGAAGTTTCTTTTTTGGCTCAGAAATACAGATTTATTTATTTATTTATTTATTTTTGTGTGTGTGCAGGGGTGGCTTGGGGTGGGGGGGGGAGGATTCTGGGGATCAAGTCCAGGGCCTGAAGTTTTGGGCAAATGCTCTACTACTGAGCTATATCCCCAGCCTGTAAGCTTATTTTTATAATTAATTATTTGACCATTTTATATGTTAAGTATTTTGAAAGATTAAGCATTTGATAAACAATATTATAGTGCTGCAACACTAAACTAAATCAGTCAGGGTCACTATAGATGAATTGGGTTGGCACTGAATAATTACACAGAGACAGAGAAAATATTTTTTTCTTGGGGTTTAGCGAGTCTTCTTGGCCCCAGCTCCCACAGGGGAAGCAAGAAAGGCAGGAGAGAGAGAGAGAGAGAGAGAGAGAGAGAGAGAGAGAGAGAGAGAACACACACACACATGCCTGAAGCCCTATTTATTGAGGGGAAGACACCCAATGAGGCAAGGGATTAAGGGATCGGGTTTCAGGGGAATGTAGCCCAGACGCCCACTCCCAGAGCTTCATTCCCCTGCCCAGAGGAGGTGAGATCCACCTGTCTTTTCACACTTCCCTCCCTCAAGGCTAAGGGTCCATGCTCTGTCCTGTGTGGCAGCTCCCCACATAATAGTTTAAGGAATTTGTTACTTAGTGTATTGTCTGTTCTCTTAACAAAGTACTAAGAAATTGTGTGGGTCAGTTTCATTTAAGGGAGAATGGTTAGTTTCAGTCTCTCCCATCTATTAGGTGAACATGTTAATCCCTAAGGGCTGAACAGTCACATGACCAGAATCGACTATCTGCCTTCCCTGATTTTGCTTTATAGATAACACGGTTTCATTACGGTAACTATCCAATTTTAAAAGCTTGAGAATGAGGCAGAAGTAGAATAGGATAGAACTGGGGATGCTCTTAGGTTGGAACCAGAACTATTGCACAAAATTTCCCTAGGACCTTTCTTAGGTCTTGATCAACTCATGAAAAAGCTCATTAACCTTACACATATAAATTGATATGGAATGCTAATTTGCATAAATTATCCTGGCACCCTGATTAATTTCTCTATTTTATTTTAATGGGAAATTTCATATTGAGATTTACTTTTTATTGTGTGGGGAATTTATTATTGAAACATTTGATTGGACTTCAATTGCATTTTTCTTTTGGATTGATTAATTTGGTTTGGTTTGTGAAAGCACCAGTTTAAGAGAAGGCTTATTCCTTTAGTAGGCAAGAAAGAGTAAGTGTGTGCTATGATTTGGATATGAGGTGTCCCCTGAAAGCTCATGGTTATAACCTAATCAGTGGATTAGTTTAGTCAATGGATTAATAATTTGAAAGGACCACTGCACTGGGTGATAACTGCAGGCAGGTGGGGTGTGGCTGGAGAAAGTAGGTCACTGGGGATGTGCCTTTGGAATTCATCGCTTGTGCCTAGCTCCTTTTTTTAAAAAAAATATTTTTTAGTTTTAGGTGGACACAATATTTTTATTTTACATTTATGTGGTGCTGAGGATCAAACCCAGTACCTCTTGCATGCTAGACGAACACTCTACCACTGAACCCCAGCCCCAGCCCCAGTGCCTGGTTCCTTTTGCTCTCTCTGTTTTGTGGTTGCCATGAGCTGAGCAGCTTTCTTCTGATATGCCCTTCTGCCATGATGTCCTGCCATAACCTCAGGCCCAGAGCAAGAGAACAGACTGATCATAGGGCTGGGTTGTAGCTCAGTGGTAGAGCACTTGCCTCACAAGTGTGAGGCCCTGGGTTTGATCCTCAGCACCACATAAAAATAAATAAATAAAAGTGAGGATATTGTGTTCATCTACAACTATAAGAATATTAAAAAAAAAAAAGAACAGACTGATCATAGACTGAACCTCTGAAACTGTGAGCCCCAAATAAACTTTTCCTTCTCCAAGTTGTTCTTGTCAGGTATTTTTAAAAATTAATTAATTATTTTTATTATTTCTTACATACATATCAGGTATTTTGGTCCCAGTGATGGAAAGCTGACTAAAACAGCATGTTAGTCTCTCTTCACACATCCATGGTATCCTCAGGAAGTCTCCAAAGTCAGGCCTGTTAAGATGCACACAGCAGCCCACCTATAATCCCAATGACTCAGGAGGCTGAGGCAGGAGGATTGCAAGTTCGAGGCTAGCGTGGGCAACTTAGTAAGACCTTGCCTTAAAATGAAAAATTAAAAACAGACTGGAAGTGTGGCTCAGTGATAGAGTGTGCCTGGGTTCAATCCCCAGTACCAGGGTGGGGTGGGGGATAAAAGATGCACATCTCATGACATTTTTAGTTCATTGCCTAGCACTTGCTCCTAAGGTATAAATCCAACTGAAACAGAATGGAAGAACACTCCCCATCAAGAGGATTATAGTTTATCTTAAGGGAGCTTGAACAACCCTTGTGGGGAGAGTTTAAAACCCATTGGATGCTTTCAGTATGCCAGTCTTCTGGATGTTTAGGTATGCCATCTTTTGTTGTCTTCCGGATGGCTTTAGTCTCACTCTCTACTCTTGTAGCAGCAGGGAGCTGTTTATCTGGAGGGGGCACCAAGGAGCTGCCAGGAAGTTGTATTTTACCGCAAACTGTGTTTGATCTTATTGTATGGATATAATATGGCCACAGAAAAGACAAAAAGCAAGAAGATAAAATCTCACTTGGTGAAGGCATTCCTGCACCCGCTGTCTGACATGGTCACAGCATGTGGGATGCTGGAAACTGGAACCATGGGGAATGTTAAGTGTTTTGTTTGTGATACTCGTGATATGAATAACGGGGCATACGTCAATCAATAATAAAAGTACGTATTGCCAGATTGCAGGAATATTCCCAGAATGAGACTAAGGATACAATTGAGACATGCTATGAGGTGTGTTTCAATGTCTCTCAGAATACAAACAATAGGGTTATTCCTCAAGCCCAAACAACAAGAAATATTTATCCCACGGTTAACAATTTACACTAGCTCCCCCACCCCCCAACCCAATCCTAAAGCCACAACCTGTACAACAGCCTAGCTACAGAAAAACAATTGCTGTGCCAACAGTACAAGGACCACCATATGTAGCTTATGGTATCCCCCTCGAGGACAAGAGGCTAATAAAAATACATTCCCCCAAACAAAAGACCCCCCTTTGCTTTGCGCAGAAACTTACCATGAAAATGGAAAACACAGTTAATATAAATGACAAATGGGTTGAAGTGTAAGCCTGCCCTTTAGTTAAAGATTACAAAGACATAAGAATTGGTGTGCTTTGCCCAAGGATCAACGAAGTTCTTTAAGAAAGCAGTTAATAGGTCATATGAAAAAAGAAAATTACCTTGGAAATTAAAAGTAGAATAATGTAAAATTAACATACATGTATTTTAGAGGCACTTCAGAGTAGTAGGCTTTTAAATAATAGACTTTCATTATTTTAAGTGTGTTTTACTGGGATTTTAGTTTAAAAGTAAGAAAGCTTACCAATAATCATAAGTATGCTTTAAAGTTAAAAGTTAATGAAATAATTATAGGTATGCTTTAAAGTTAGAAGTGAATAATAGGTCAGGAGTCATGTAGTCTAGTTGTGTTGCCTAGCACCTAGAGATTGAGGTGAAAACCTAAAAAGCTTAATTATGATTGACTTAGGTTACAGAAAAATATTTTGAACAATGTACTCAATATCTGAGGTAATCAATGTATGTCAGAAAAGACTGTAACTCTTGAAAATGATGTAAATCAAAAAAGTTTCGGGCTTTGAAGCCATCCATTAACTACCTGAAAAAACACCTGTAAAAAAGGTATAAAAATAAAGGTCCCTCCAGGGGCAGAAGAGATTTCTTCTGGAGGCTGCTGTAACTTGCAACTTGTGGTCCCAACTCTTCTTTATCCAACACCACTCTTCCTTCAGGACTCCTGGAACCCCACTCCCTGCACTGGGGCTGGACCTCGGCACTCACTAAACCTAAACATTAGAATAATTTCGTACTGTGGAGATTTTCCCAGTGGGAGATAGACCATTTCAAACCTTGCTCTTGGTTCTCGGGCCTCCTATCATTCTCTTCAGGGCTAGCTTCACCTCTTGGTTCCGCAGAGTGTAGATGAGGGGATTGAGGAAAGGGGTGATGGCTGTGGGGAACAGAGCAGCTGCCCCATCCAGGGGACTATTGGTCCCAGGCCTCAGGTAGATGAAGGCACAGGGCACGTAGTACACGGTGACCACAGTTACATGGGCCCCACAGGTTGAGAAGGCCCGGCGGCGCCCATCGGCTGTACGGATTCTGAGGATGGCTCTAATGATCTGAATGTAGGAGAGGAGGATCAGAGAGAAACAGCTGGCAACCACCACCCCAATGTCCACAAAGGTCACCAGCTCGTTGACTGTGGTATCAGCACAGGCCAGCCTCAGAACGGCAGGAATGTCACAGAAGAAGTAATCGACCCGGTTGGGACCACAATAGGGCAGGCGGAAGGTTAGAATGGCCTGGAGAGCCCCATGAATGGAACCGGCCACCCAAGCCCCAGATGCAAGCAAGGTACTGAGCTTAGCAGTCATGAGCACAGGGTAGCGCAAGGGCCGGCATATTGCCAGGTACCTGTCGTAGGCCATCAAGGTGTAGAGGAAGCACTGGGTGCTTCCCAGAAAGTGATAGAAATAAAGTTGAGCCACACAGCCAGCGAACAGGATGGGTTTGATGGCTGACCTGAAATTCATCATGAGGCGAGGGACAATGATGGAGGAGATGCCCATGTCGATGAGGGAGAGAACACCAAGGAAGATATACATGGGGCGGGCATGGAGCTGTGGGTCTGTCCAGACGGTGACCAGAATAAGGAAGTTCCCCAGCTGAGTCAGGATGTAGATTGATAAAAAGAACACAAAAAGGAGTGTCCTTAGCCTGGGTGGGTAGGGAATTCCTGTCAGGATGAACTCAGTCAACAGTGTGTGGTTGACTCTTTGCATCTCCTGAAGAGATCTTTCCTAGAAAATGGACAAAACAGGAGTTAGCACAGAGGTGAGAGGGAAGTGAAGAGAAACTAGAGAAAGAGATAATAGAAATTTGGGGCAGTAGCAGAGAAGTTCCTCTGTTCTGTAGAGAGATGGCCAATCAGGAGAAGCTATGTTTTCTGGCAAGAGTTTTGTAAATAAAATTTTACTGGAACACAGCCATGCTCATTTATTTACATATCATCTGTAGCTGCTTTGATGCTAAGATGGCAAAGCCTCAATAGAAAAAGTTTGTGTCTAGGGGTTTGCACCTGGAAAACTATTCTAGAAGTCTATGAGACATAGTTATTGACTGTTATTTCATCACAGGCCAGGGTTTCCTGGACATAGGATGTGTATGCGAAAGGGATTTACTGCCTGAGATGCTCTCTGCGTTCGGAATCTTTCAGAGGCCACTGTCTCATTCTTATCTCTGCCAGGGCAAAAACTTACATGGGAAATGAGGGAACTCCTTTCCCCCCATTGTTATAGAGAGAATGAAATAGAATTTTGTTCGAATGGCTACTTGTGAGTGACACTGCTTGATGCTGCTTGATGCAAATATTTTGTCCAAGTTCTCAACAGTTCAAAGGAATAAAATACCAGGAGGCTGTAAGTGTATAAGTAAACTGAGTGCAAACACCAGTGTGCACCATGGTTGGTGCCCAGTGCTTGGGATTTCACTTGCCTCATTTGTAATCATTTAGCCTTGAGACCCAGTAAAGGAAGAGAGGAGAGAAAAAAGAAAAGAGGCATGGCTATAGTGAGAAATCAGAGATTAAAGGAAAAGAAAGGGCCGGGTGCGGTGGTGCACGCCTGTAATCCTAGTGGCTTGGGAGGCTGAGGCAGGAGGATCAAAGCCAGCCTCAGCAAAAGCAAGGCACTAAGTAACTCAGTGAGACCCTGTCTCTAAATAAAATACCAAATAGGGCTGGGGTTGTGGCTCAGTGGTTGAGAGCCCCTGAGTTAAATCTCAGTTACGGGGTTGGGGGGGAGGAAAAGCAAGGATGATTAGAGAAGGTAAGGAGAACAGGATGAGAGGGTAGCTAGTGCAGAGCAAACAGCTCTGTGTGGAAGAATTATTTTTAAATTCTTAGTCCAAGCCTGAGGTGGTGGGGGACTTCTGTTGTCCCAGAAATTTGGGAGATTGAAGTAGGAGGATCACAGATTTGAGGGCAACCTTGACAACTTAGGAAAACCCTGTTTCAAAAGAAAAAAGACTGGGGATTTAGCCCAGTGATAAGGTGCTCCTGTGTTCAATCCTCAGTAACAACCTGCCCCCCCAACAAACACTTTAGTCTAATCCCTTGACTAGCATTTCTTCAGATGAAGAAAAGATTACATTTCTCTCTCTATAATTAATTAATTTATTTATTTTTGTACTGGGGATTGAACCCAGGGCACTCTACCAGTGAGTTATATCCCTAGTCATTTTAAAATTTTTTATTTTGAGACAGTCACTAAGTTCCTCAGGTTGGCCTTGAACTTTTCATCCTAACTCAGCCTCCCAAGCCAGTGGGATTGGAGGTGTGTACAAGAGTACCTGGCTGGTAATACATTTTGAAATCAGGTGGTGTGATACCTTCAGCTTTTTTTTTTTTTTTTTTTTTTTAGCTTTGAGACCCAGTAAAGGAAGAGAGGAGAGAAAAAAGAAAAGAGGCATGAAGGAACTTTTATTCATTTATTTACATGAGGTGCTGAGAATCAAACCCAGTGCTTCACACATGCTAGGCAAGTGCTTCATGACACTGTGCCACAACCCCAGCCCCTCAGCTTTATTTTTTTTTTGTTTAAGATTGCTTTGGCCATTTGGACTCTTTTGTGTTAGAGTCTGTAAACAAGTCAGGATGGCGCCTGGCATTTTGCCAGAGGGAGTGATTTGTGAAGTAACTCCAGTGAGCCATTAAGTGTGGAGATTCCTTATTGGTTGACTGCTGTATTTAGTTTATGTTAATTAGATAAGCTGTGTGGAATGTATAAATACCTCTGTTGTCCTATAATAAACAGCTTCCACTCCTGCTGTATCAATCTACACAAGTTGTTCGTCACCCCACCGGTTATTTTGCTGCAGCTGGATCCCCGTACGGGCCACCAAATGCCACAGTCTGGCTGGGCACAAAATAACCGAGCCACCACAAAAGCCTTGTAGATTCAAACAGCAACTCTTTATTCCCGAACTCTCACCCGCACTCTACATGCACGTTCTGTGAAAATGCACTCCCTCCACCAGCTCTGGGCTCTGCGTACCAATTCTCTCAGAACCCCGCGAGAACTCAACAGGAACTCAAGGAGCGGGCGCCTGGGGCAGCAGGATACACCCTATTCCCAGCAGGATCCACCCTAAACCTGGAGCCACCCTAATCCAGCAGGATCCACCTTTCAACCAAAAATGCCATGCGTCCTACTTGGCTGTGGCTCTCAGCACTTTTGTGGTTCCACTATGGGGAAAGAATAGTTTTGTCAATAAATGCTGTTGGGCTAACTGTATATCCATGTGCAGAAGAACAAAACTGGACCCTTATTCCATACTATATACAAAAATCAAAATGGGGCAGGGGCATAGCTCAGGGGTAGAACATTTGCCTGGTATGTGCAAGGTGCTGGGTTTGTTCTCTATTACTGCAGGAAAAAAAATATACTAAATCAGTTAAAGACTTAAATGTAAGACCTGAAACTGAAACTACCACCACCACCACCACCACCACTACCAACAATGACAAAAAACAAAAGCATGGAGGAAGCTCCACAACATTGATTTTGGCAATAATTTCTTTTTCCATAGGACTCTGAAAGCATAGGGAACAAAACCAAAAATGGAAAAATAGGAATGCATCAAACCAAAAAGCTTCTGGGCTGCCAAAGGAACAAGTAATAGTGAGGCAACAATCCACAGACAAGGAGAATATACAGGTAAATCAGACATCTGAAAAGGGGTTAATATCCAAAATATATGTGGAACTCAACTCAGTAGCAAAAAAATAACCTGATTAAAAACTGGGCAAAGGGTTCAATCCTCAGCACCATACAAAAATAAGAAAATAAAATAAAGGTATCATGTTCATCTACTGCTAAAAATATTTTTAAAAAATTGACATTATTTTCAGAAGAAGACGTAATAATCACCAACAGTTTTATAAAAAGTGCTAAAAATTTCTAATCATAAGGGAAATGTAAATTAAAACCACAGTGAGATATCACCTGACACATGTTACAGTGGTTATTATAGAGACAGGAGAAAGGGCTGGGGGTGTAGCTCAGTGGTGGAGTGCTTGCTTACCTAGCAGCCTGAGGTCCTGGATTTGATCCTGAGTACTTTAAACAACCAATGCTAACAATAAAGCAAAAGCCTGTTAAAGACAATAAGTGTTGGTGAGGATGTAGACAAAAGGAAACCTTTTTACACTATTGTGGGAATGTAAATTAGCATAACCATTATGAAAAACTGTTTTAGTCAGCTTTTTCATGGCTGTGACCCCAAAAACCTAACAAGAACAATTTTAGAGGAGGGGAAGTTTCTTTTGAGGTTCACAGTTTCAGAAGCTTCAGTCCACAGATTGTCAACTCTACTGCTCAGGGCAGAGGTGTGGCAGAACATCCTGGTGAAAGCAGCTATGACATCATACCAGGAGAGAGAGAGAGAGAGAGAGAGAGGAGAGAGAGAGAGAGAGAGAGAGAGAGAGAGACTGATTGACTGACTGACTTCTCCTCTTACCAAGGACAAAATCTGTACCCCTCAATGACCCACCTCCTTCAGTTACATACTATATGCCTATGCTACCACTCAGTGAATCCCCCTTCAAGGGATTAATGCACTGATTGGGTTAAGGCTCTCATAGCCCAGTCATTTCACCTCTACACTTTCTTACATTGTCTCACACATGAGCTTTTGGGAGACACCTAAAACTTCAACCATAACAAACAGTATGAAGTTTTTCTCAAAAAACTAAAAACTTGGCTAGGGTTGTGGCTCAGCAGTAGAGTGCTCGCTTAGCACATGCGAGGCTCTGGGTTCCATCCTCAGCACCACATAAAAATAAATAAATAGAATAAATGTATTGTGTCCAATTACAACTAAAAAATAAATATTAAAAGAAAAAACAAAACTTAAAGTACCATTGCCACAATCTGACATCTCACTTCTGGGTCTGTATCCAGAGGAATGGAAAGCTGTGTGTTGAAGATAAATTTGAACTCCCTTGTTCATTGCAGCATTATTCACAATAGCCAAGATACAGAATCAACCCCATGGATGAAGGGATAAAGAAGACATGGTACATACGTGCAATGGAATATTTCTTGACTTTAATTTAGGAGAAGGAGATTCTGTCATTTGTGAAAACAAGAATGAATCTGGAGGACATTATGCTTGTAAAATAAAACTGACACAGAAAGACAAATACCATACGAGCTCACTAATGTGTGGAATCTAAAAAAAAGTCTCACTTGCAGAAGTAGAGATTTGACTCCCGGTCACTAGAGGCTGGGGGTTGCAATGGCAAATGGAGAAATGTTGATCAAAGGGTACAAAGTTTCAGTGGGATAGGAGGAAGGAGTTTTGAAGATCTATTGCACAACATTGTGAGCATGGTTAATAATAATTTAGTGTGTATTTAAGAATTGCTAAATGAGTGGATTTTAAATGTTCTCACTACAAAAAAATAAATATGTGAGGTGATGTATATGTTAATTAGTGTGATGAAACTATCTACAATGTATACCTATATCAGAATAATGTGCTATATATCCCCAAATACATAATTGTTATTTGCCAATTAAATATGAAAAATTCTGAATAAAGAAAAGCACTTTAGGTGTCAAAGAAGTTGAAATGGCTTGATTAATTTTTTTCCCCCTCTGGACTGGTTTGCTTTTACTCAGAAGGAGGAGACTGAGATTAACAGGATGCCAGAAGCTCCCTAATTGAACGGAACCGCCACTTCACTGCTGTGCAGGATAGCATTCTGCCCTGGGTCAGAGGGCTATGAGAGGAGGCAAACGACAACACTGTCAAGGAATAAGACATTACGGACCAATGGTCTGCTTCTGACTGAAAACCCCAAATACGGATATTATAATGAATCTTGGTCATTTTCTTGCTTCTTGGTCTGAGTGACTCTCCGTGATTTCCTCATTGGAGCTATGAGGATGGGGAATGACCTCTGTGGACATAAGTCTGGCAAGATCTATTGACAATAAAGGGTGGTCATAGTCCACAATCTTTAAACACTGTAAATCCATTATACCCATGCTCTGTCAAGCTTAGCTCTCATTACTTAACCACCTCTGCTATGGGATTCTCCTCAAAGGAGCAGTAAGTCCTTTAATCCCATGCCATTTGTCCTCTGTCAAGTGAATGAAAAGTGGTTACAATTTTTCAGTTTTAAATATTGCAATCACAGGGAGCAGTAATGGCTGTTAACTTCAAAAAGGTGACCACGCTGCTTTTCCAGATGCCAGAGCCATCAGAGCAGACTCCTCTCACTCCCAACTTCAGGGAGTGCAGATGGCTCACTTTCCCACCCAAGTTCTTGAGAAATTCATGGCTATGCCCAGTGTTTCTGGGCTGAATGAGCTTAGGTGACTGCTCTACTCTGGGTGCTTATCTTTCTGGGATCACTGAGGTCTGGTGTTAAGTTTTTCAGATTTGGAAGCATTATTTAGTCATGTCTCCTTGGGGGGAATCAAGCTCTGGGAATTCAATTCACACTCAAGTACTTGAGAAAATGATTTATAAAAACAACCCATTTATTCATCTGCAGTGGAGGATCTCTTTTCTATGATTAAAACGATGTGTCTACTACCCAGGGTATCTATTTATTAATAATTGGAAATCAAATTAGGAATCAGCTATGTATTTCTGAGTTTTGGATGAGAGCAAAGGGGATTTGATGGAGCACAATTAATTTAGGCTGCAATAGATTCTGATGAATTATGTTTGGTGAATCCCACATACCTTTGTCTAAGGGAATGCTTCAATATTCACTTCAGATACATCATCTTTCTCCTTTGGGCAGAAGTAAGGACACATTGATAAAGTTTTACTCTTTTTTTCCTGATTATATATCTCTTTTAGATTGCCTTTGTTATTTTCAATGACTCCTTCAGACAAAGCAAAACAAAACGTATTTTCCTAAATAATTTTTTAGAATGCCCTAATTATTTTTTTCCTTATATTTTCATACTAAAGTCATGCTTGTGTTAGGAAATATTCTCTGAATTACTATCTGGCAGGGATTATTTCTTCTACAAAATTTCTTGTTCACAGGGAATTCTATTCTACTCACAATATGCTGATTCTTTTTCTTCCTTTTCCTTTCCTTCTTCCTCTTCCCCTTCTCTTTTACTTTCTCTTCTTCTTCTTCTCCTCCTCCTCCTCCTCCTCCTTCCCATCTCCTCCAACTTCTATTACTGCTCCTCCTCCTGTTTTTCTCCTCCTCCTCCTCCTCCTCCTCTTCTTCCTCCTCCTCCATCTTTTTGCAATATTGAGGATTGAATCCAGGGCTCTCTATCACTGAGATACATTCCCAGCTTTTAAAAAATTCTATTTTGAGACAGTGTCTCTTTAAGTTCCTGAGGATGGACTTGAATTTAGGATTCCATTGCCTCAGCCTACCAAGTATCTGGGATTATAGGAGTGCACCTCAACACCTATCTGGACACCTTCTAATGAGGCAAAGGATAGAAGCTCAGCTCCATTTCAGCAGATAACTTCTCCTCCTCCTCCATCCTCCTCCTCTTCCTCCTCTTCTTCTTCTTCTTTTTAATAAAAATACCTTTATTTGTTTTTATGTGGTGTTGGAGATGGAACCCAATGCCTCACGCATGCTAGGTAAGTGCTCTGCCACTGAGCCACAACCCTGGCCCAATTTGTTTGCTTCTTGATCCAAAATACATCCCTTACTCTAGTCAGCCTACTTCTCAAGTGACCATAAACAAAACTTAGAAAAGTTCTTTTTCTGAAAACTGACTCAAAGCACATTTTCTTTTTTTTATTTGAAAAAAGAATTTTGAATATTTAGAAAACTAATGTTACCTACTGCCCTTTTCTGAATTTTACAATGAGACATTTAAACTTAAAATAATCTAAAGATGAGATACATTGAATGAGTCTATACATATGTAATGAGAAAACACTGGGGTACTAAATTGAGACATGAGATTCATAGCATCCATTAAAACATGAAACACTTACTAGCAATAAGTTTGAGTTGCCTGTTTAAAATATTCACTCATATAGAAATCAGATTACAGCTTTACACACATGAACCCTTTAAATTTTGGGCAGAAAACTTTTCTTACAACTGTGAGAAGGGATCTAAAAATGCTACACAAATTGGAGCAAAGGTGGAGCTGCCACAGAATAGCAAGATGCTCTTACCTTGTCTAGTGGGTATTAAAAATGGGCAGTGAGGGCTGGGGTTGTGGATCAGAGGCACAGTGCATGTGGGAGGCACTGAGCTTGATACTCAGCACCACATAAAGTAAAATAAAGACATTGTGTCCACCTATAGCTAAAAAATAAATATTAAAAAAATGAGCAGTGAATGAATTAAGAAGGCTAGATGGGCCGGGTGTGGTGGCACATGCCTGTAATCCCAGCAGCTTGTCAGGATGAGGCAGGAGCATCACGAGTTCAAAGTCAGCCTGAGCAAAACCGAAGTGCTAAGCAACTCAGTGAGACTCTGTCTCTAAATAAAAAATACAAAATAGGGCTGGTGATGTGGCTCAGTGGCCAAGTGTCCCTGAGCTCAATCTCTGGTACCCACAAAACCCCCCAAAGAGAAAGCTAATTTGTACTTTGTATAGTTAAATATAGCAGAACAGAAAGAAAATTTCTATGAGACCAGAAAGAAAACTATACCAAATAAACAAAGAAAGACATTGACTGATGAGGTGACTAAGAGTGGAGAAACCTCTTATACAGTGTTTGGACCTAACATTGTCTATATCTAATACTTACTCTATATTTGGGGGTCTTTTTCTCCTTTTAGTACCACTGTAAATTAGTAATCAAGCCTGGAGGAGATAGTTAACTCTGGGAAATGGAATTAGGACAGTGGAAGGTGCTAGTTGGAGAGGAAGGAGTAACCCTCACCTGGTGGTATCAGCATCCACTGAAAATCCTTTTGCAATTTGTGGGAAGGAATGCAAATCTGTTGATAGAGAGATGTCAGTAACTCACAGGGCCAGCAGTGGTTCTTATGAAGAGCTCATGGCAGGAGATTCAACCAGTTCTGGCTGGATCAAAGTCCAGGTCCAACTACTGAAACTTGAATTACTTTTTATTTGACTGCTTTTTGTAGATATTCTCCCAGCTTCCTTATGAACTGGGGGAAGATTTGTGGCTCCTACTGAAGGTAACAACTAAGTTGGTCCCTCCTGAGTTCTGTTGCTTCTTTTGTTTTCCCGAGGGTCAGTTATGGTGTGTGAGACCTTTAGCTCAGGGAATATTATAATAGCACCCTGTGGTAAGGCAAGACTAATATCCATAATCTGTTTTCTGGGAGACTCCTTAGTTTTCTAACTTTTAAAAATTTTATAATGTCAGGTGGGACACAGTCTTTGGAGTTTAGGTGAGCTTGTTGTTGACTTTGGATCTGTGTTTCCTTCCTCACAAATATAATCTTTAAACCAAGGAGCAACTTGGGAAATCCATTTTTTCCTCCTCTTGTCTTTTTCTGCATGATTCTGGGAGGTAATCTTTAAATGACCAAATTAATAAAGATGATTTTGATTATTGGTGAATCCCACATACCTTTGTCTAAGGGAATGCTTCAAAGAACAGAAATACATCAAGATTAGCTTAAGTAATAAACTCCATTTTATATTTAAAGGTGAAAAGTTCAAAATATATAACTACTAACAATCAGATTACCTAGAAAACAGGACCTGCCACAGAGCCAGACCTCATGGAGACTTGGACTGGTCAGAAACTGGGAATGAATCTAATTGGAAGGTAGCTCTGGGGACTGGGAAATTTTATTTTCCCCATCAGAAAGAGACATCATTTGGTCCAAATTGTGTGCTGTACCATTGTGGTTACTCAGTGGATCTCCATCTTTGTTTCTTTATGTTTTCCTTTGATGAAAAGCCAATTCTTTTAAAATGTATCTTTTTAGTCTCATTGGTCACCTCCAGTAGAATGGCTCATTCTGCCTCCTGTAGGGGATTGTGTCCATTTTTACCAGAGAGAATTTTTCTGGTTTCACAGATATCCAGGATTGGCCATCTTAGACTGTAGCCCCATTTCTCAAGTTTTTGACATTTCCTGATTTGGAATCTTCAGATATTCATACTACTAGTATTGAGCAAGGATGATGATGCTTATTATCATTTATTTCATGCTTATTATGTTTAAGAGCTTTACATATGCTAATTTATTTAATTCATATCCAAAAATATTGAGGTGGATATGAATATCCTTATTTTACAGATGAGGCAATTAAGCTCAGAGAGTTTAATTAGAATTTAGCACAGGGTCATATAAATAGTAAGTGGCAGAATCAGGACTCAAATCCAGTGTCTTTCATTAAAATCTTTGCTCTCTCTACTCCACTAGATCATGATATCTCTCTAATGGACATACTAGGACTAGATCAGAGAATATTCTATTTCAAATTAGCACAAACACTGGGTCCCTCCAGAAAAGCTTTTACCTAAGTGTCCTTCTGCAACATAATGGCAAGATGTCTGAAATGATCAGAGGGTGAATCAATCATTCTCATCTAATGTTTTAATCATTTCCTTAACAATGTTGGTTAAGATCCTGCTGATAAGATGGGAGTCTTTTCTTTTTTTAATTTTGTTCTAAGTAGTTATACATGACAGT